AGAACGATGCCTCTGGACTCCTTACTAGTCTCTAGCCGTAACCAATGACGCTTGAATGGGCTATGAATATAACTGACAAGTTTGATGCATTGCTCTGTACATTCATGAATGTTAATTAACTATGTCTGTGAATTGATTTTTATAGGTTTTTGTACATCAGTCATATTAAATGATCGAAATTTGCAATAACCTTCACAATCTTCAATAAACAGATTTATTAACAATTCGACTGCAGATAGCAATTGCGCAAACAATTATATTTTATCAGAAAAAAACAAAGTTCTGTATCTCACTATGTGCATCAGTAGATTAGATTGAAGGAATGAAATCAAGCACGAAAAAGAAATTCAGTGAATATCTGACTGCACTTGAATATTCCAACGTGAATGGCGTAAAGATCACATTTTATCTTTATCTACTCAATCTTGACGAGTGGCCGGTAATATTCAATTCTCGAAAGATCCACGATCCTGCAATTTTCCGTTACAGGAGTTATCAACGTCGCTCTAATTCGATTACGACACATACCTAACTACATACTTTCGCATGTTCTTGGATAATTAACGACCCGGTGAACTACATCCCGCGGGACTAATAGAGAACACCACGTGGACCCGAATACGGCGTTGCGAATCCGCAAAAAAGCGAACCGCGAGCCAACCAGCGCAACTGCTAATTAAGCAGTATATCTATATTAAAACCGGTCCGCTTGTTCTCTCTGTATCTGTCTAGCTGTCCGCTTTTAAAGCTAAATGTACGGTTGCAAAGGCAGGGAACACGCGGTGCGAGGCTCGTCTGAAATAACTCGACCCAGACTGGGCGTCGTCCAGCCTGTCCAGCGCGAAATGAACTACGGTTCTTACAAACTTGCTCTTATTCTCTTCTTCCCTTCTCCCTTTACTGTATAATATAGTTGCAGTATGCATAATACGATGAACTTTAAACATATGGATTGAAAACAAATAGTTTAAAACAAATAGATTTTTATACATAGATATCGTAGGTCCAGGATTAATTTAATGTAATAATCTCTTGCCCTGAACTCATTTTTTCCAACACTTCTTATTAGATACAACATTATATATCGTCTTTGCATATTTTCTAAAGTTGCTAATTATAAAATATTAAGAATCCATTAGCAGCATATACCGCAAGTTCGTGGTCCAAGCTTGTGTGTTACCTGCAGGATGTCGTAATCGCCTTCAGTCTCACACCTAGTTAGAGATGTCAGTATTAGATGATAACGCGAAAACCGTATCCTTGATTAGTTCTCGTACGATTCACCTCCTCGTTGAAGGTAAGCCTGTCTGTCCAATTAAGACATCAAACGGTACGAATGAGACGAGGATCACCGCGAGCGACCGCACGTAAGCGTGTCGCGACTCGGGTCTAAAAGAGCAGAGCCAGGACGCGAGACGAGAGAAGAAATAGACTTGGAAAAGAGGCGAATACGGTCAAGTCTCGTTCCGAAGGCGTAAGCGAGCGAGCGAGAGAGAGGAGGAGACCAAACTTGGAGTACACAGCTGCCGCTCAGATTTGCCGGCGGATAATTGCGTGACTTTTCCACAAATGGCATCCGGGGACGAGCGCCGTCGTGGTCGCGGCCGCATTGTCAACCCACCGCGGGGGGAAAAATGCGAGATGCATAATTTCATGCGACACGCGTGAGCGGAATCCCGTATGAGTTGCCCCACGCCACGCCACGCCACGCCACGCCACGCCACGCTACGCCAAGCTATGGCATCGTTCGCTTTCGTAACTCGCTCGACTTGCGAGGGCCACTTACGATGACGACGACGATTCGCCTGTCCATTGCGGAACAACTCTGGATCGATTTGACTTGAAGATAAAAATAAATTCTAGTGATCGTCGTAGTGTCCAACAATAATTATAGATTTAATGATTCAAGTTTTTGGTAATTTTCGATGTAAAAAGTATTTTTGATCTTAATTGATTAAGGAATCCTTCAAATTCAAATTGTTAGGCACACATAATAAAGTTGTAACTTGACCAGATAGAAATTGAAAATTTGAAAAGCGTCAATAATATTTTAGAGAAAACAACTAATGGATTTCTTATTAAATATTTATTTTTTGCAGTTAAAGCCATGATTGTATTAAGTTTGCTTCGGTCACTCTAATAATGTTTTGTTGAAAAAAAAAATAAGAATCGTACCGGAGCTCACTCGTCACAGCTCGCGTTAATTCGAAGCAATCGGTACGCGAACTCCGTACATCCATCACTGACGTACGGATGTCCATCAATCCGAGGTACCCTTTAACAAGCATTTTCATTCTTCGAGAGGAAGACGTACGCGAGCAATCCTCTACGAGGAGGTCCCGGCGGCATCGGAGAAACAAAGAAGAAGAACGGCGTGGATAAAGAGTTAAAGGCGACTTCGCTCGTCACCTAGAGTTACAAACTTTACGCCCGGTTTAATCCACGATTTGGATCTGATTTTGGCGGGAACCGGTCGTCGAACTGGTCGACAAAAAGTGTCCCCGGTACGTGATTGAAGGCGAGTCGAACAGCGCACGCGTGGAACAAAGGGTAGACACAACGGAGAGCGTGAACGGGACGCGTTCCTCTGCAGGAATGTTAAAAATATGACCAATTACGTGTTACATATATGGCGCACGGCGACGCCGAAAAATCAGGCGCCGTTTTTATCGTACAGGTGTACGACGAAGGGACGCCTTTGTCCCGCTCGAAGCGATACTTCTCCGTCGTGCGTTACAACCTCGTCCGGATCGATTCTCGATCTCGCGATATAATTGAAACGAAACCGCGGCACTTTCTGTTTTCTCGTCAGTGTTTTTTATTCAAGAAGGATTCGCAGTATTTTGTACGATGTCATGAAAAATGGAATTTCAGACGTGACAGAACAGTTGTAATAAGAGAAATTTTACTAATTGGGTGGGAACTTTAAGGCGAGATCTGAATATTTCAACATCTTTTCGAGATCGTATGCATTTAAATGGTTTAAACAAGTTTATGTCCCGCGCGTTAAATTCACAAGAAGTTTTCACCGATTCTGAGATAAACATTTTCACTATCGAGTACCGTCGTCGCGGCAGCGAAAGAGCATGCACAACAGACGAGGACCGATCGATCGGCCATAAATCCGAAAACGGCGGGACGTTGTCGAAAGGTTTTTTATCAGCCGTGGTGCCAGCCAGGAAGCCGGGCAAATATTTTCGTTACGTCAATTCGGAGCGTTAACTCTCGTCGCAGAGTCGCGAAAATATTGGCCGCAATCTCGCTCGCGAAACTGGCCAGGAGAGGCTGGCTGGCGGGTAGCGCGAGGGTCAGGCCTCCGTGAGCCGAGCACAATGGCTAAACTAATATTGAAATATTGCCGGGCGATTGGGCCCGGTAGGCATTTTTCAACGTCGCTGCCGAAGCGCGGCCGCTAACAAATGCTTCTGATTTACGAGCCGACTCGACCGTTCGAATGGCGATTGTTAATACGAAATCATTTATTTTGCGTCCTGGCGATCGTTGCGCGTTTGTATGCGCTCTTTCCGCGAGACCAGAGACTGTGCGTCTCTAAAAAAGGAAAGCTTCCGAAACGCACGCTTGGCGTTTCTCAAAAGAGGGTTACATTACACGGCGAACGCGCGAAACGTGTCCGCCCCCCCCCCTGGTCGACGAGTTTATTCCCTGCCGGAGAATTCTAGTTTTACTGCGACTGGGGATAAATTAGGAACGGATCTCGCTCGCGGCGGCCGGTCGGACGTCCATTGATTGTGAAATATACGAGGGCATTTTTTTAAACGGAGACGCGACACGCAGATAACGAGAAACGCTCTTGTTTTTGCACCGTCACGTGCGCCACGCACGAGATAACGGCACGATAGCGACCGGTTGTTGCGAGTGTTTGTGCGATTCGCTGATAACAGTTATCGTGCGGTCGCGCCGCGTACCGCGTCACCGTCGCCGTCGAGCGAGCTGTAGGTGACAGGACAGGGTAATTCAGTTCGATTGATTCGTCACCGACTTTATCCCGTTTAACGTTATTATTTCTTTTGCCTAACTTCGTTTTCTTATATTCATTTCGTGATCTCGTATTAATGATTAATTCATGAAGACGTTATAACAGTTTTAACTTAATCGAAAAATAGATTGTATTCCTTTATTTATGTCTCACTTCATTTACTTCACGTATTGAACGTTGTGTAATAAAGAGATAAAATCATACTTTGAAGACCAGTATCATCGGCGAGTCTCTTTGTGTCACCGACCGACCGGGTTCGTGCCTTTCGTTCAAGGCTGGGCCTCGCGGCGCTATTTCCTGCGGAGATGCGCCCACGCGCGCCTGGCGCGAATCTGATTTGAATTCCACGGTACGAAGCGACGTGGAGCGGAGTGGCAAGGCGCGTGTATATTGATTCAGCTGAATTAACACTTAACACGTTGGCGCGGCGACTACGCACACCTCGTGTCGCGTAGCTTCGTGGAACGCCACGCGTTTGCGAACCGTGGATCTCTCGACTCGAGGTCGTTTGCTTTTTAGGAGTCGCTGACGAACTCGCGCGAGTCTAATCGATTGAGTGAAGTAATGGGCGTTGCGCGATTTTAAACGAAGATAATCGGGGCTCAAATTAAGTGGAGCGCGTTATATTTTTTATTTATATTTCGCGCGTTGAATGGTTTACTAATTCATGGAAAAAGTAAGTAATATCTCAGCATGAATGTATCGTAACTGTGTCGATATTTTATTAAATCCAATGTAAACAAGTCGTGTAGCCAGAAACGAATGTATATTTATATACGCATGTGTGTATAATAAATCGCACGTAATTGGTTTGATTGGTTCAAGCCAGACGTTCCCGCGGATATTCATTCGAAGCGATTTGCTGGATCGCGGTTGATCGACAACGATCGACGTTATGTACACAGGCGTGGAGTCGAGCCAATTCAATCCAATCCATCGCGTTCGATGTTAGTCAGCTTGGAGAAAATCCGAGGATCCCAGCTGGTAGCTTTGGTCTGTGCCGACGCACGACTGCGACCTTAATTTTGGCGCGTTTACCTTAACTTTCCATTTAAATGCTTTACGAGGTTAAGGCGAAGCAACCGCGTCGAACCACGTGACGAACTTCCTCCGTCGTGGTGACCTCAAAGGCGATTTCCCATTCCACGCACGACGAGAACGGCTCTACCATTTCTCTCGAACGACGTCAACGAAAACGACAAGATGTGACGAGCCATGGAAGAGTCAAACGATCGTCTCCTGGTACCGAGCTAATGAAGTGCTGCTCGTTTATGAAGCTCTCCCACGAACCACTTATGAAAGTTCACCGTTCTTTTTTTCATTTCTCGTTTCTTCTGCTTGGTCTGTTTTAATTGCGGTTGCGTGAGCATGAAATGTCGCTGCACGAACGACGCGTCGTCGTGGGCTTTCGGTAAACGTGGGTTATTCGCTGCTCCTCGTGACACGTCTTCGTGTTGAGAAATACGTAAATGGAAGTTCCGTGAGAACCGTGGACAATGCGGAGGCGCTGAATCTGTAATGAAAAGTTTGGGGTTAATCAGTGGGAGTGTCTAAATTTTGTTAAATTAGTCGAAATCTGGACTTTCGATCTGTTATACTGTTTTAAATATAATATTTCTATAATTCTCTAAATCCTTTTTCATTATCAATATTATGCAAAAAGAAAAGAGAACGTTCGTTCATAGATGTCAATTGCACACGTAAAATGCGTTAAATATTTTGAATGATATGTAGAAAAAATCAGTAATTAAGAATTGTAAAAAAGAATAGTAATTGCAATGAAATATAGAAATGCATGTCGTGAATTCGTTACTAGCCAGAAGATACAGGGTTATTCGTTATTTGATCTATTCTTGATTTCGCTATCAACCCGCGACAAAGGACGGCGCGACGGCGACGGACGCGACGCGCGTCAGCCACGAGGAGCCACGAGCCGTCGCGTGGGACTACGTAAGCCGGCTCAGCCTCACCATCTCTGTTCTATTCTCTGTTTGTCTGCCAGAACTCCTCTCCTTTTCTCTTCAATCGTCTACCTACTCCACCACTGGCTTCGTTCGTCCCACGGCACTCCGCACGCACGCTTCCTCTGCTTCGGGCACGCACACGCACACGCACACAGTCGTAGTTACACACACTATTCATCGTAGGTAGGAGAAGCGCGCCCACGTGCGCACGCACGCACGGCGCGACGCTAATGATGGATGCATTTATTTGTTTAGCCGCTTTCAATTTCAGATTGCGAAATCGGCTGACACGGGCTTTAGAATAGTCCGAGCGGCTGCGAGGCGGATAAGTGCGCGTTTTCTGCTGTTTGTTTTTGGAAGACAATGCGAATTGGGTTCTTGGGTTCTTCTTGGCCAACCGGAATCAAAATCCGAAGAACAGTTTAAATTGTGCAAGTGTTGCGCTTACTATTAGACGAAAATAGATTTTCATTAACGGATTATGAAAAAGAAAATACTTATTTGATC